AAATGTAACCTCTGTGGAAAATTCATGATGCTGCAGTGAAGAGATGAGAAGAGAGGTTCATTAGACTAACCTGCTCAAAGTATATACTTGTAAATAAGATGTTAGTCATAACAGTTAAGTGGAAGCATGAGACTAATGAAGAAACAGTATTGCAGATTGATATACTGGTTGAGGGTATTTTTTCTGGGAACTTTCATTATCCACTCTTTGTAATGGAACTTTTAATATTTTAAACATTTTCATGTCTGGTTTAGGAAAATAATATAGTGGCATCATCTATAAAATTTTAAAAGTCATCACATTATCATATTTTTGGAGGGCAAAAGTGTAATCTAAAAGCACTAGCTAGTGCTTACTTTGAAGTAATGCAGCATCTGTTGACCCCTAGGTTTTAGTTTTATAGTTTTATCAAATTTAACAACAATTTTAAATTTATAAGCTGTGACTTGTAGCTGTAAAGTTTTTGGCAGCAACTTCATTTTCCTAAACAGCTTGTGCTTAAGGGCTGATCTCACAGGATATATTTTACTGATATTAGCTCTCAGATAGATACACAGAAGTACATTCAGTTTTTCATGCTTGTATTTATGTGTGTGTAATAAAAGACATTGTAGATGCTAACACAGTTTTCAATACAGCAGTAGATCTGTTTTGAATACACGAGGTGTCATCTTCCTCTTCTTCCACTTCAGTCACTACAATTGTAGTTCTGGCATGATTAGATTTTTGTACTGATTTTAAATTAGACACAAAGCTCACATTTGTGAGCGCTCTTCTCTTGCACAGCAAGTCAAACGGGGAGCCAATAAGTGGCCAGACATGTCTTGAATAAATATTTTCTTCCCCCACTAACGGGGGAAAATGTCCAAGGAAGAATTATTAATGATTAAGATAGACAAATGCAAGAAATATATTTTAAGCAGTTTTCTACCAAGATGACTTTTCATCATGACCATGAACTATTTAAATCTTTCACAGGTTGATAAATTCTGATTAGGATATTCACAAGTAAATTATTTTCCATATTGTACACGATCTTGTTAGGGCTGTAAACAGAGAGAACCCGACAGGAGGCAGCAGATAGATGTTTTTTTTCTTTTGTAGGTTCCAAACTACTGCACGTATTGGAGGTCTGAATGCTTGTATTGACTTGGATCTTGTGTTACATTACTGAACTAAATTACATGCTAATTAGCGGGGATGCTGTAAGAACAGTTTTAGAAACAGCATCCCTGCACAATGGGTTTGCATCACTGAAAATCAGATTAGCACTACTGTATAGAAAATGTTTAATGTGGACGATTGTGTCCAAGGCTGACTGCAAGGAGAGGATATTCCTGATCATTACCTTTTCAATCAGCAATGGGTCTTGCTTGTTTAAGCAGTTTTTTAAATTAAAAGAAAACATTTGTAAGATAATTTTGTAGATATTTATTGTCTGATTTAAAAGTGCAATATTTTATTTTGTACAGTGTTTAATAAAGATTTGTGGACATATATTTTTTCTTATTATCAAAATTTCTTATTCATGTTTTTCCTTTATATTTAAAGTTTCCAAATGTTAACACATAGCATTTTTTTGTTGCTTTAATTTTGCCTTTGATTAAGTATGCATGCTATACAGAGCAGTGCTGTAAATGTTTGTTATTGCAATTGGCATGACATTCCTCTGTAGATTATTTTCTTGCTTTTCCAGTAACTGAAGATTTTAGATTTCTTGAATGTAGTTTTGATATTTCTGAAATAAAGTCTAGTTTGATTATTCAACACTGTGATTACCCAGAGATGGTTTATTACCGTGCTTTTCATGGTAGCAATGCTTTCATTCAAAATGTTTTAATCAACCTACTAAGCCCATAATTCTGGGAGGTTTTTTTCAAAATTAATATTAGTTCTTATTTTTGAGAGCTTATCAGGCAGATAAGCTTTGTTACAGTCTGCTTTGCACTGTTGATAGGCAACATAGATGTAACCTGACTGAAAAAATGGGGAAGAGAATTTGCCAAAATCCAAATAAGTCAGCTCTGACTCATTGAAACCTAGAATCAGGATTCTGTAAAAAGGTAGAATAAAGTTATATTTCTTTGCCAGGCCTTCAAGTACTGCACCAAGCAGCGTTTAATAGAACAACAGCTCTCTGTTTTATATTTAGTGAGTGATGCAAATGCCTATGTGAAAAAAACTTTTCAGAATACCCCATATGTCTAATTGTCTTTAGAAAGAAGAGTCTCGTTTAAAATAGGAACAAGAAAAGCCTTTAAAATGTTATTAAATTGAATATAATTGTTTAGCAATGAAATGGTGGTGTTTCAGTTATTCTGGATGGCAGCAATGGCAAAGGTGCATGGGTCTATTTCATTTTCTTTTTGTGTCCCAAATGTATTCTTTCTGTGCAGTCATCAGAAAAAACCAAGGATTCTGTGCAACAGTTGTGTGGATCATGCTGTGTAGCATAGCGCACAAAAAGCACTTTTAGAATAGCAGTTGAATCCATGAGTAACTTTTCTGCTTTTACATCTCGGTTTAGCAGGACATCATAAAATGCTTTTTTAACAGCTGTTATTTTGAGAAATATTAGTTTTCCAGCCAGCTCATTTTGCCCGCATTTCAATAATACACTGTTTATGAAAAAGTTGATCTCAAATATTGAATACTCTCTGAAGATTTATAATATCATTTGATGCTTTTCCTGGAAGCACAATCAGTAGGGTGTGGCTCTTTCAATGGTAATGTAATAAAGGCTTTTCTCTTTCACTATTAAACTTAGGGGAAAACATTAAGGGCAAAATGAAAAGGAATACTCCACCCTAAAAAAAACCCCAAACTCTGAACACATCTGCAGAGGAACTGTTAAATGTATCTGAATATGCCCTCCACTTCCCCTCAGAAATTTTTGTACTGCGCTGGCAGGTGGCAGCAAATGACTTTCCATAACTTAAGAGGGGGGAAGTGACTTAAGAACTAAAAAAAACAGCTGTGAAAATTACAAAAAGCATCTGCGTTCAGTGACAGATGCAGAGGAGGACCCACTTTCAGCAGAACACGCAGGCACACATAACTTCGTGGATTCAGACTGCATTTCTCAATGAGTTTTCTTCCTCCCCAGAGAAAGAGCTGTAGGGCGTTAGGAGCTTTTGTAAACTCATGAGGTACCAAGATTGTGTGTAGCATAAGGACTTGGGTAGGTGTAACTGTGCAAAGTTGTGTTGCCTCAGCTGTGGCCAAACAAGCAATGGCTCAAGTTTTGTAAAGAAAGAGGTGTTTGTAGTTTGTTTTCTTCTGTGGTACACAAGGAGAATGATGATGTGGACTTTTCCCTGTCCTGCTGTTAGGACATCACAGCTTTATATTGCCCTTGTTCATTCCCAATCCAAATCATGTCTTTACCAGGAGGAGGCATGAATAATCTTCAGAGAGAAAAGTTTAATTCAATTGTTTTTTCCTTAACAGAGTAAATCCTATTATAAAAACACAGTACAAAGACAATAATTACCTAAAATGTAAGTGATGCTCTAGCAATATCTGGCTCTCTCATGCAATGCTTTTTTGGTGATTTGGTTTATGAAATATCAGCACATAATCCTTCAGAACCCAAATGACTGCCCTATACCAATGTGTACAAGTTATGCAATACTAAAAATCATTAAAAAATCATTCTGGAGTACTATGATAAAACATGTTAATACTTTTAATCGCAGAATGATTTACTGGGACTTTCAATCAGTTCATTTAGATTTCCCAAAATCAGGTAAAGATACAAAGAGGAAACAATAAATATACAGAAGCATAATCATTGCATATAAAATTTCAACAAAATTTCTGTGTATTTGTAACAAGTAATTCTTTGAAGAGCAGACAGAATGAAGCCAGGTTGTCTAGATATTTCTGCATCTCAGCTAGTATTTATTTTTTTAACTGAGTTTACACTATTTTCTGTTATCTCTACATGCACCTTTACAGTTTTCTGTCATTTTTCCCTTCAGACTGCCTCTGCAGTGAACTTTGGCAGCAATAACAGTCTCTTTAGCTTTAAAAATCAGATAGCAGGATCAAAAACTGTGGTGGATGGATATTTAACTTTCTGAGCCTGAGTCTCTCTGCTTCCTCACCACATACCTTAAACTTGAAAAACAATCATCTGTGAAAACTCTTTGTGAAATTTGATTGAATTTCCACACTGGGTTTAAAAATTACTGAGGTGGGGAGAACACACACTTAGTGTGTCAGTGTGCGCAAAGCTTTGCATCAGCTCTGTTTCCTTTGGAAGTAAGGCTGAAAAAGCACCATCGGGGGAATTAGGAAACAGTCTGGTGACCTGCTTTTTATGTCTGAGTGATTTCAAGTATGTGTACAGAAAAAGAGCAAGGTTACTTCTTCTTAATTGCTATCAGAAATTACAGTGTGACCTTCATACTCTCCTCAGAACCAAATGAAGGAAAAGTAATGATGACTAAAGCTAAAACCAGGTTTTTAGAAATACCCAGGTGTCATGGGGTACTATGTTATGATGTGGGCAGCCAAATGTAAAGAGAAAAAGTCTTCTTACCGGATTACTTGAAGTATTGGCAATATGAAAAACTGAACTGATGAGCTAATTATTTAGACTATTGCGCTATTATATGCTTACCACGAAAAAGAAGTTACAATCAAAAGATACTTGCTGGTTTGCAAATACAACTGTTTGATTTACAGAAAATCTGAAAAAATTAGAAGTACAATGCATCTGCCTGAGGTGGAGCATAACGAAATGTGGGAAGTGAAGGAAACTAGAATGTACAATCAAAAAAATAATAGCTGCCACATAAGATGCATTATTCCTACAACGAGTCTGGTAATAAATGTCTGTGTTTGTTTTGATTTTCTTCAAGCTATTAGTTCAAATGCTTTTAAAAGCAGAATTTGCATTATTTAATTTGCTTTCAGTGTTACTTAAAGAAAACAAATGACAAAGTAGGATTGCAGTAATTTCATTAGGGTGCTTGAAATACTCCATTTAGGTGTTATGAAACAACACCTACTTCCTTTGGAATAGGATTACTATGTGACTCGAAAGATTCTGGAGTAAGCAAGCGGAAGAATTTGTGACCGCCGGAATCTGTGTTTACATAGACATAACCTGGAGGAGATGGGTAATTTGCTGGGCAGATCTCCTGTTTTTGTGGAGTGTATTCTGTGCGATACATAGTTTCATCTTGGAAAGGAGCTGAACTAGGAGCTATAGCATGTACAGGTTTGAAACTTTGAGCTGGAATGATCTGATGTGGTAGGTAATCAGATTTGAATGTAGTTAAATCATAAAATTTTCCCGTGGGTTTTGGAATTTCCTGTTGGTTCTTAATAATCTCTTGCCGACAGGTGCCCCAGGCTTTAAAATCTTCTTTCATAGTAGTATTCCCTTGAAAAGGGGCACTGGTTCTTCCTCCATTAGAAACTGGTCTTATGGGGACTGCAGGAACAATCTGATGTTTCACATAATCAAGATGGCTCGTGGAGTTGAAATCCATGTTGCCTGGAGGTGGAACGTACTCTTTTGTTTTGCGGAGCTCCGGCAAGGAGACTAGCCATGGCTGAAAACGATCCTGGAATTCAGTGACTCCATTAAAGTGTGCATTGGATCCAACTTTTGCATTGTCAGGCTTGCAGCTCTTTACAAGTTGCCCAGGTAGCCCTTTAAAATCATTCCGGTGGGTTGTGAGATCTTCAAAGGGTTGGTTGCTTGGCTTATACGCCTCTTTTGCTCTTATGAATTTTGGCTGCAGCTGATGCACAATGTAAGAAGAGCGATGACTAGTAGCACTATCAAAAGGCACATCTGAAAGCTTGGCTACACGAGGTTTAAAACTTTGTCTGAGAATCAGTTCCTTGGGAACAAAGTCATCTTGAAATGTAGTAGAATTCCCAAACTTCTCTGTAGGTGGGTGGTATATATGCTCCGCCTTACTAGGTTCCCTTCTTTGAACTTCCCATGACCTATAGTCATCTTTAAGGCAAAAACAAAACTTCACCATACAAGTATTATTACTTAAGACCATTACTTTAAAATTAAGCCCAATTCTTCTGGTGTTAAATATGGCAAAACAGAGAAAACGGATGTAATTGAAAATGATAATGTTAGCTGCATGTTTATGATATGACAAAACTGTCTTCTATTACTGGTGTGATAAAAACAGACAAAAAAATTGAACAGGATGCCCTATTTTGACTATTTTCTCAAGGAAAAAGCATGTACATATTTAGTGTGTGTTCTATAGAGAAAACATCCATATATACATTTCATAAACAATATCTTAGATTTTACTTAGAACTTTATGCAAATATATAAGACTGAAAGGAACCCTGTAGGTCAATGAGAGTCATGTTCCCTATAGATTGGGAGAATTCTCTCTCAAATTTCCATATCAATTTTGCATCATCTTAAAGCTTGGGACTTTTTTTCCTTGGCTTCTGTGTGTTTTTTTTTACTAACAGATTGTTCTGCCGTAGTTACAAAACTCACTGCCCAGTCTAAAGTTCTGCACAAGCAGCTGATATCAAGTTGTTGTCTTGCAATCACTGTACTGCAGTGTTTTTTCACTCCTGGATCCTTACTCCCTGTTGCACTGCTAAGATACGTTTTAAATGAAGCAGTTGCATGCTGCTGTAGTTGTATGCTGAGACCAAGCTGAATTATTCATTACTACTTACATGTAGGCTAAACAGAAATATTTAAATTTCCTTATTAATTATTTACAATTAATGTAAATAGAATGTATTCGTATAAATGCATTTCTGTCTAGCATAAGCCTAAGCTTAAAGAAGCTAGTGAAATATAATTCTAAGGTTTTATTAAAGAGCCTTTTTTCGCAAATTTTATCCTTTCAACTCTGTCTGTCGCTACACTTTCTCCTCTGCTCATTTTGCACCAAGCATTCTAACTTCCTGTTTCTTGTTACTTCAACTATCTTTTTCATACCACCGGTCCTTATAATCAGGAACATCTTGATTTTCATCACTGTAATAGGTCATATATCTCATAATTTATTTCTACATACTTTTAATGGAGGCTACAATGCAGTTCATGTAACAAATTCAGTAACACAATTCATGTATAAAATTTTCTACTGGTATAAAGTGTATCAAAGTCATTTGCCAGCATCCCTCAGAAGGAAATTTAGTGCCTTTGTGCTGACCATTGTAACAGAATAACTTGTGAAAAAACAGATTATTAGTAGGATGATATGCAAGCTATATGGTACACAAGACAGAAATCTAAAACGAACTTTTGACCTACACTGTGGAAAAATACGTGTCATGTAAGCTAAAACTATGTGAAAGTTATATTGGCACTTCATTAGAACTAACTTTTGCCTGAGAAAGGCTAACCAAGTGTATGTTAGAATTTCTGTCCTTCTAGTCAAGAAAACCTTAAGAGAAGGCTTTTCATTTAGAACCACCAAATTTCACCTCTAAACAACTGGAGTGCTGAACATCTTAAGGCATTATCACCTGCTTTCTGTTATGTCTTATTCTCTGGCCCAAACTGAGAAATCCAGTTTCTAATATAGACAATTCAATATCTAAGTTTTGGTTATTTCTCTTTCTAAAGGTGGCATGTTATTACCTTGATAGGTTGGTATGGTATCCAATTTTCCTCCTGTAGTATGTTTTCTCTCTAGAGGTCTTACTAATGTCACTGGTTGTATTTTATGAACGTTATAATCTTTCTGGTATGTGGTTCCCAGTTCTATCTCTCCTGTCTTTGGTTTATATTCTTCTGGCACCTGAAAAGGTCGCTTCACAATATCATACGGCAAATAATCAGATCTGGGGAAAAAGGAAACACTGGTTAAAAAGCTGCCTTTTTTTTTTTTCTAATGGGAGTAATTTTTATCATTTTTCCATTATATGGAAAAACAGTAACTTTCTAATGTTTACACTGAGAAATCAATTTGATGCCATGGGTTAGAGGGATAGCAAGGAGGAAAGAAAACCCTAGTACATAAATTCTGATGTGTGATATAGCCTTTATTCAAAGGCAGATGTTGAAGCAACTTTTTCAACACTCCGAGTTCCATTCACAGTTCAAAAATATTCTTTAAAAAATCTGAGACTAGAAAAAATTGCTGTAATTTTACAAAGAAATGATCCAGTAAGCAGAAGGAGAGCAAAGATCAAATTACAAGTGGCAGCATTTACTGATTGCATGAGGAAAATGGAATATAGTCAGAAACAGCATTTCACCATTTTTATACGGACAGATTACGCCGAAAGGGTGTGTGTTACATATGTCTGTGTTTGAACAGTATATGCAATACACAACCGATGTTGCACGACGGCATTTGGCCTTTCCATGTATGTCCGTTTTGATTTTTTTTTTAAATAAATAAAGAAGTTTCACCTGATACCCTTGCAGCTTAAAAGAAAAACAATAGGAGAAAAAGAAAGGTTTATGCTCCTGTCACATTATTAACAATGAATGAGTGATGTCTTTTTCTAACTCTTTGAGAGATGCTCTTTAACTTTGTAAGCTTAACATTTGAGTCCGTGCACTGACAGGACAGACCTACTGAACCCCTTTACAGTTATCTTTCTTCAGACTCCTAATAATTTAGAACTGTATGAATATAAAAATCCTGCTTCCTTTTTCTTAAGGTTTCATTTTCCCACTATCTCAGATTGCACACATGCAGACTTCTGCAGCTTGCCAGCTTTTTCAGGCTCAGTAAGACCTACATTTCCAAAGCAGGCTGAAAACAAGAACAAAAATTCTCCATTATCTTTACAGGTTAAAGGATGCTGTAAAGAATGCAAATCTTGTTGTATGTGTGCTTCACTTTTTTTGTTAATGACCATTTTGTGGTAACTGTATTTCTACACTCAAACTGTGTACTTTTAAATATGCTGAAAGAGTAAAGGATGCAATGATTGCATTTTGGAAATGATTGCAACACAATGTTCATTCCTCTCTTAAAAGAGAAAGCATGAGAAACTTTATAGAGTAACTGTAAAACACATTGCTTCAAAATGTTTACTTAAATGTTGTAATTCCTTCCATTTTCCCACGATGCACTTGATACTCTTGTTTCGGCTTAAGGCTCCGCGAAGGGGCGATGTTGCTGTACTTGGGATATTTTTCCACATACTCTGTTGTGAGGCACGGCACTTGTCCATGATCATAAATCCTTGTGGGTTTATGAGGGCAGCGATGGCGCCTGGGTAAAACACATCAGGTGAGATGATTTCGAATAGTTTCATTTAAGGGGAAAACCCATACCTTGTCTACTGGGAGTGAATAACAAACAAAAAAGATTGAACAACGTTAGCAGCTTGTGTTTAAAATCTTTTCTGAGTGATAAAACCCACAAAATACTGTGCTGATGGCATAGGTCCCTGAGCACAGTGCACTAATACAGTAATAAACAGTATCAGCATGCGAGTTAGTGCAGAATAAAAGGCATGGATAGAGTCGATCTCAGTCCTCTTATTGATCCTACCACCAAGATGCATTTTCCTCTCTTTTTTAAATCTTTAATAATATTACCAGTCTTATTTGTAAAAAATAACTATGTTTCATTTCTCCTCTCCTATTGTCTCTTTTTTACTCCTTTCTCTTATTGTTTGTCCTTTTACTTCTGGGCATCTGCTCACCTATTTTTACCACAACTCTTGATTAACCCTTTCTGAGTAAAATTTTATTGATGTGAAATTTCCTCTGCATTTCTAGTGCTCTGTAGGCTGCTTTTGACATTTCAACCCTTTTACTTCAAGGAAAGAAAAACTATCCAAAAACTGTATTTGTTTAAAAGTAATGATATCTCTTTTTCTTTCTATTTCAGTTATACCTGCTTGTCATTGATGCCTATTTTAATCACACCTTTGTGTTAAAAGGTGTTCAGAGTTATATCATGACTTTATTACTTACAGCTTGCCACTTTGTGTATATTACGCATGAAATTAAAAGGTACATTCTATTTTCTATATTGCTTTGAAAATCTCGTTATATCTGTTCTATTCTGTATAACACACTTAAATCTCTGGTAGCTTGTTTCAAGCATTGTTTCAAACTTTTGTTTTGGCTGAAATGATTATTACTTAATCTCTCCTTTATGGAGATATATAAAAGACGTTTCTCCTACTTGTGGCTGATGACTTGCAATACTGGTTCTGATAAAAGCAAAGGGAAATAACACATTTTTTTTAAATAAATGAGTCTTGTAAAAAATGCTGTATGTGAAGAGCAAAAATAACTAAAGAACAAGAAGGGTAAAACTGTACAGCTCTTACTGGGGTGCAAATAAATTCAAGTTTCAGGAAGCTAGATAGCCAAGAAATAGTTCAAAAGTCTGCAGAGAAATATAGCTAGCACTGAATACCAAAAAGGAAAAAAATAAAGCAAAGCAAGGCAAAATAGAATATAGAAACAGACATGAAGGGCTCCTGCTGGGAAAAGTAAAATGAAAAAAAAACACTAAAACAAGTTCTCTGGAACTGGAGATCCCTAAAGCTGGTATTAGTTTGAGCTGTCTGACTTTGCCAGCTCAGTAGTTCAATAAATGAGAAATGAAGTAGCCCTGTCTAAGAAGCGAGATCCTTTCAAAGCCTCAGGTGCTTACTCCCCTTCAATCAAGTCAACGGACAGTCAAGTAACAATTGAGAGACCTATTCAGAACACAGCTGGGAAAGGAAAAGGGAAGAAGAAGGAAAGAACTGGAGAGGTAGGAAAACAAGGAGGTGAGTGTATGCCATTTCTCAGCATGGTGCTTGCCTGCCACTCCATTTTCCATGAAATTCAGTTACCACCTTAGTAATATTTTTTTCAGTAAGCATAAACAGCATATGCTGTGACACGTAGCATCTAAAAGTAACAGCTAAGCAGAAACGAAAACCATTGAATGTATGTTCTGAAAGCTAGTTGAAATAGGGTATCAAATGATAATGTTCTTCACATATTTTGAGGCATACAATTCAAAGGAGTTTGAAACAAATATTCACCTACAAAACCTTCATTTTGACGATCTTCAGTTTGCCATAAATTGGTCCAGAAGACCAATTGCCAAACAAAACACCTTCTCCATTCTGGTTTCGCTAGTCTTCAAAGAGTTAACTCTCACTATGTTCTAAGCAATATTTTCAGTGTATCCCCTCTGTTGCTGAATGTTCATGCTACAACCAGAAATGGATGCTATAAAAATAATTACTTGCAGAGTGAACCTGTAGTTCTTGGTAGATTCAACAGAGAGATGAAAGTAATCTAATGCATCTCTATAAAGAAATAATTTTTTTGTAATCGCATTAGAATTCATTGCTGAATCAAAAATGTCCTTGATCCCAGTCATTTCTAGTGTGTGAAGTAATTCTGAACACCCTCTAACTATGCACAAAATTGCTTGGATTCAGATGTTCAGGAAGATCCTACCTCCTGCACTGTGCTGAGAAAGATCTTTCAGTGGGCCTAAAAGACAACATAAAATTACCTTAATATCAATATGAATTTGACTTGGAGAAGAGATCAGGGGGGTTTTGGTCAACCCATAAATCTACTTTTGCCTTTTGTCCAACTGCTAAGCCAGAAGTTTTCATTTAGATAATAACTCTACAAAACTGATTACATAGGGCATCACGGCTCTTGAGACTAGAAAAGATGCTAAGAGTCATCTGAGAAGACAGACTAAATCACTTATAAATGAAAGATGTTGCTTACAATTTGTCCAGAACTCCTTGAGTCGCTTTGAGCAACCCATTGTTACTTGTAGTTTTCTGAAATCCAACCCCAGAGTTACTGATAATTCAAATGAATTTGGAGACAGTCTGCCTTCCCCAGGACTGACTGATTCCTGCTCTGATGGATTATTATTCTTTCCCTTTTCTGAAGGAGACTAGCTAATTTGTGGCTTGCATAATGTCTGAACAGAATCGCAGCTAAGTAAAATTTACAGTATATGGGCTCTCTAGTGCTAAATGCTGTTGCTCTGATTATTTTAACAGAATGATGCTGAATTTCACTTATTTAGGGTCTGGCATACATGCAGATGTTTTTTATACAATGCTAGCAAGATCCTTGAAATTTTCCCAAAAGCATTTTCCTCAGAACTAGATTAATCATGAGAAAAGTTTAATGCTTATCATCATGCAAACCCTAAAAAAGCCCCACACAATTCAAAGATCGTATTTTTTTTAACTGCCAGCGCACATGCTATGGCCTGATGGACAGAAGTTAAGTATGGACACCGTATTGCTGAGAGTCATCTACTTTCCTAGCATTGACAGGAGACCTGGTAGTTTTTATTGGGTTTGCATGTATTTACATGTCTATGAAGACTTAAATATCCCACATTTCAGGCAAATCCTCCTATTTCTTTTTAACCTACATTTATTCAGGAATCTAGGTTTCTATGATAATGATAACAAAAGTGCAGTAAATGGGGAAAGGCTGGCAGATTGAGAGGAAGAGAAAGTAGTAGTTTATTTTTATATCTCAAAGCTAAACTTCCATGCTGTTGTATGTTCTGATTATCTTTTCTAGTAGACAAGTGCTATTCCTGAGCGTCCAGAGTTCATCTACCTCAGAAGCTTTATTCTTCCTTTGGAAGCCAGATTTAACATCCTGTATTTGCTGTTAGACATTTCTATTGAGCCAGTGATCTGAAGCCTGACTGTACTTGCTAGCCGGGGGTAAATTTTCTCTTGTATTAAGTTAAAACATTTGGAACCCATGGGAAACAAGAAAATTAAAATATTTGCTTCTCTTTATGCATCCAATCCCAAGTAAGACTAGCTCCTACTTTCTCCACATTAAAAAATATATACCACTTCAAAAACAAGACAGAATCCAGCCATTACTCTACGCTGTGCAGTTCTGAGAACACTTTTGTGGTTTGTTACCAAAAAAACCCGACAACCTACAACCAAACTTATATCTCTACAACAACAGCTTAAAAATGATCATCATACTGCCTTGGCAGAATCTTATGCTGCTGCAAAAGTCTTAAAGTCTTAAGCTCAAGAGGCTAGAAATTATGTCAATTATTAAAAATGGGGAAGTCCTTAGCACTGAACCTATTTTGCAACTTGATCTTCGAGCATGCTCAGCACTGGGTACGCTTCCGGGGTTTGTTGGCTTTACACTTATTTGTTGATTTTGAAAAAGGTCACCTAATAGGAACAGAAAGTGATTCAGTCTAATATGAAGGAATCTATCTGGAATATTCTTAAAAATCTTGTAACAATTATTTTATTAAGAGCCCAAGACTGCAACCCCTTAGTATGAACACTAGCACTCAGATGTGGGCCTTTCATGAGTGGATTGTGTACGTTACAATGCAAAAAAGTTCATTCTGAAATTTTGGAGGCTCTTCTCATTTACCTGTAAAAAGAAAGCAGAATGAAGCTCTGTCTTACTGATTTTCTTCCCCTGTATTTGTACAATTTTTCCAATTGTTTTTTTCTTCTGTGAACAGCTAGGAAGTTTGTTACCTTCTATTTTATTATTTATAATTAAACAGTAATTATAGCTCCACAAATTTCCTGCAAATAGCTAAATGATAACTTCTACAAAATAATAGCTCTTTTTTCACGCTTTGAAATCTCTTCCAAGGTGTGTATGTATTGCAATATCCAGGTGACACTGCCAAGCGACCAGTCTCCCCTGAAAAACACAAACACTGTAACTACACTGAAGCAAACACAATGGACTGCCTAAGCCAATAATGGCTTAAGATTTTACTGACTGTAAAACCTTCAGGGATGTTTATTTTAAACCATAAGTTCTGTGCATGGTTTATTCAATTATTCATATTATTAAACTAAGTTTTTGAATTGGGAGTTTTTAGTTGATTTGAACCTTGTTTTGTGCTGTCAGATTGTGTTATCTCACCGTCTTTATACTTGACTTGAGTCTGAGCCAGGTTTGTTATCTCATTGTGAAATCAGTGTGTTCCAAACAAATTTATGGGGCAAAGTACACTCACAGTCTTGGCCAAAAAAACATGAGATGCTTTACACACCGCCTGTCTCTCATCTCTGTGTACAGATCAGAAAAAATGTGGCTGATGAACAGATAGATAGACTTCCCATATAGAAATGCAAGGAACGTGTCTGCTGTACAAACCTCAAGAGGAAACCTGTAATTCACGGTGCACTTTGCAGCCATAGGGCTTGCTGTGTACTTCCAAAAGAGTGATCACAGTCTTGTGATCTTATGATGAC